GACCCCTGAATTGAAAATATGTTGTTCCACATCGCCAATTTCTTTGATAAACATATTCAAGTATACCCCACATGATGGAATAGACGGGTAAAAAAAATCATCCTCTTTGAGAAGTATTGGATTTACCCAAAATAAAATGCTTTTTAAGATTTTATTTCACAGATTTCTAGGCGTGTTTAATATCGATAACTATGCGAAATTACAGATTTGTAGCACCTAGGGTCTCTGGGCAAAATCATGGACCGCCGACTGACGGACCGACGGACATGATGAAACTACATATAGGGTTCCTTGTTGTGTAAATATGAAATCCTAAAAATGAGTCAATAATTAAAAATTGAAAATTTTGTACAACGGATTTCAATATAAATTATTAAGAACAACTCAAAAGCTACTAGTCAGACCTTGATCAAATTTATATGGGGACACATAAGTGGCATCAGCTTTCAAACAAAAAAGAATCATGGAAATCGTTTCAACCAGAAAAAGTTATGAGACACACATAAAAAAGAGTATACAGTTAAATTGAGTACCTCCTCTTTTTTGAAATCGGTAGAAAAGTGTTAAAATTCGGTTCTGTTGTTTTAATTAAGTTCACTGAGATTTATCGAACTTAAAATTGTTTATAGGATAATGAAAATGTATATTACAAGAATCGTGATGCAAATAATGCAGCACTAGCAACATTTGCACAGGAATTTGGAATTCTAGTTCTAGTTGTACTTCTAGTTCTGTGGAGTTCTGGTTCTAGTTTTGTTCAAGCAGGAATAGGATTACGCATTGTTGTAATAAAACTGGGTTTTGTTCACACGAAATATGTCCTTAAAATCATCTTCGTTTTCTGTTTGTAGCTCATCACACAAATTGTTAAATGCTGCGAGAACCTCACTTCTTGCTATCCATTTTTGATACAAATTCTTTTATTAACGATGCTATCTCAATATTTCTTGCCTCAGAAGAGCAGCAATGATCAACACACCCTCTGCGCTCATGTTTGAAAATGAAAATAAAATCTAATTGAATACATGAATTGCATAAGACTTGTGTAGACTTTTCTTCTAGGAATAATTTGTTTTATTATTAATCTGTAATACTTTTTTATCAATAAACTCACCAATGAAAAGTTATTCCTCGGTATTTGCTATCATTTCTTGAATTACACTCCATGACATATTTTAAGAGATTTTTTTTTTCATATAATTAACAAAGCACGTGTCAAACTCTAGTAGCGAGTGACTGTGTAACTAAATTCAGTGTCTCCGCTAGTACGTAAAACACAATAGCTCAATGGTTACGGCGCATATACGCCCCATAGCTATATATAATAGTAATCGGTCTTCTCTAATTTCTAAAAGAGTTTTAGGGGAAATGCCCTACACGCTGCCCCATTGTGTTGGCGGACTTCACACTTTAACTCAAGATGTTAAATTGTCAGTGAAAATCTAACATGGTTTGCTCGCGTACTGTGAATTAACATGATATTTCAATTTCTGTTTTTCTTTGAACAAACTAACGATTTTACTTTCTCTTACTTTCTGCTTTTTATCTATTAAAACTGAAATAATGAAAGAGTTTCAATTTACATCCAAAATGTAAGGCTCCGCACGGTGTTAATATGTTCCTCCACGTTCTCATAGAAGCAGATTAATTACAGGGATAGATGCTGGGGCAATAGGGAACTTAGTTTAGTGAAATTGAAATTTTAGTGGTCTTGAAAACGTCCACATCTATATCTATACATACATGTCGGAGATTCAATTGAATATTCCAATTTTAATCTCGGAAATACATCAGGATAGTATTAATTGTTAAAAATAATAAAAGTGTGAGAGCGGATGTTCAACTTGATCTCTTGCTTACGCAATTAATCATTATCAGTAATAAGAGAGCGTAATGCACTATACATAGACTAATTACAGTGCAAGAACACCGTAACACGTCCCCGTCACAATCACACACCAGTGTAACCTGAGGTACGTAATTACATGATAACACCAAAGTACGCAAACTAACAGCAACACTACTCATCGCAGTGTAACATAGGGAAGCAACACCGTCACTAGAAGAATTACTACAACGAACAGAACCACGACACTATCTTAGCACTCGTAGAATGACTTCACTCGTAGAATGTCAGAATTGCAAAATTTTCGCGAACATTTTATTTTTGCGCCCAGAAGCAAAGTAAAGGGCTTCTCTTCGGGAAGGGGGGGAGGGAGGTTGTGTAAGCTCTTAGCACATTACCACGCAGTCGGCTGCGTGGTAATGTGGGACTCACAATGAATACCTAAGTGCCTACTCACTAAACACCACCTGGGACTGACTTAGGCCTGGAGGGCCTTTCTGCCGTATCAGAAGCGACCCCTTTGGGGTAAGGGGACTCTCGCGCACGGCGCCTACAGTGTACTGCAAAAACAAGTGAGTGGTTACTCGATATACCCTCAATTCCGCCTCCATCCAACCAGTATTTTATAGACGCTCCAACATACATATAAATAAAATTGATGTTTATGTTCATAATATAGAAATAACTGGCTTTTTTAAACTCATCATAAACAGATTCATATATATAATATATATATATATATATATATATATATATGTCGCATCGTGGGTGGCCGAGATGCGAAGCATCGGGTTTTCTTCACGCTCCGACATGGTTTTATGTGTATGTGGGCACACGAACGAAAGATGATTTAAATCAAAATAACTTTATTTGGACTAATGGTTGTACACGAGAAACAAACACGTGCGTCGGTAGCGAGCGTCCGCTCCGGCTGTCCGAACTCGACTGCCTCAACACTCGGTCCCTTCACTAGCCCTCGCTGCATCCCTTCTACCGACGATCGTGTCCAAGCGGTAGGGCGCGCTTGCGTTTCCGGTGACGATATTATTGATTCGTAAAGCTAATTGCTAGATGGCGCTGCTTGTAGCACTATGGCGCCATCAATCCACGACACGGCCATCCCTGACTAGCACCCGTCCTCGGGTGCAGTGCCTGTGGACAAAATATGCTCAGAGAATAACTTAGCTCGGCTATCCTGCCAATAAAAACAAGGTTGATTCCAGATGGTACTTTATTTCTCCTAAATCTAAGTACAATAATCAACTACCATAATTGACAAAGCCCTATTATTAGGGCTTCTTACACAGTGCTTCCTGCACTACATGATTTATTGTGAAAGGTCCGATCAACAAGTTCCAACACAGCAATTCCAACAATTTTGTTACTCTTTACCATAATTCATAAGCAATGAATACTCAACTCGTGAAACTTTCATTGAAATCTGTGCACCAACACAGGCCAGAATCGCACCAACGATTCTTTACATATCTGCCGTCACATATGCGAGAATCGCACCAACGATTCCCCACATATCTGCCGCCACATACACCACAACACATGAGGGGCTCTGTGCACCAACACAGGCCAGAATCGCACCAACGATTCTTTACATATCTGCCACCACATATGCCAGAATCGCACCAACGATTCTATACACATCTGCCGCCAAATATGCTACAACACATGAGGGGCTCTGTGTACCAATACATACAGAAATCGCACCAACGATTTCCTACAGACCCATCGCCACATGTTACTCATGAGGTGCGGTCTAAAGTTTCGAGTATGAGTATACATGCCATTCTTAATTAGATTTGGTTTCACTATCACTGTCATCAACTATGACGTCTAATTCTCGAGGAACTTGGTGATCGGGGACCTTCCTCACACGATCATGAGGGTATTTGTAGGTTCGCTTAGAGTCAAGCGCTTTTAGTAGGTATCTATCCCCATCTAACACATCGATAATCTTAAAAGGACCTTTAAACTTGGGATCTAATTTCGTTTGATTCCTCTCCTCATTTTCAATTAAAACGTAATCATTGATAGCTAATTTACAAACCCGAGCCTTATTTCGGTCAAATCGATTTTTATCATAATTGGCATTTTTTTTTTATATTCTGCGTCGCGTGCTTTCTGATCTCATCCAAGTTAACTTCAGTCATATCATCATCATCGGCGGTCACTAAACTAAGCGGTCGTGCTACCCTGCCTATCATCAACTCTAGAGGGCTATATTTAGTCACCCTATTAACAGTAGAGTTCATAGCCAGCTGAACCTCTCCTAATGCGTCCTGCCAAGAGCGGTCACGACTAGTCTCTACCGCTGTTAACATACTCTTAAGCGTACTCATTACCCTCTCGACCTGACCATTTGCACGACTGCCTCCAGCAGCTATCAAGTGCAACTCTATGTTATTAGAAGTGCAGAAACTAGAAAAATCTTTGCTAGCGAAACAACGACCCTGATCTGCTATTATGCGTTTCGGTGCACCAAACAGAGCTATACAGAAATTAATAGCACGAATACTACTATTTGTGTCGATGTTTAGCGAATGACGAAGTAGCACAAATTTGGTAAACGCATCTAATATGACAAACACGTATTCCTTGATGTCGTTCTTCCCAGATAATTTACCAGAAGCGTCAATATGGATTGTGTGCCAGGGCATATTGAACTTGGGAATCGGGTGCAGTTCTGCTTGAACTTTACCCGAGTGGGGCTTCGCTACTTTACATGTGATGCAGTTGTCCACAAATTTCCTCACATATTTCGACATGCCTTCGAACCAGTAGTGCTCGTAAATCTTTTCGAGAGTTTTCTCCCATCCTAAGTGCATGACAGACTCATGGACGTTATTAATCACAGACCACCTAAGCGATCTAGGTACAATAGGCAGCCATCGAGTGCGACCGTTACGCTGAATTTGGCGATATACAATGTTTTTACGAACTTCGTAGGTTTTGCGAGTTTCCTCAGGAAAGACTTCGTTACGAAGATCAGAAACGATCTTACTAATCTCTTCGTCCTTTTCCTGTTCAGCTTGCAACCAGTTACTAGAAAGCTCAGCTAAATCGATACGCTTTTGTTCCACACGAGTGAAAGCCACTTCGGGCTTAGAGAGGGGATTTCTAGACAGGAAGTCTACATGGCTCAGCCTTCACGATGGATGATATCAAACTCAAATGACTGCATGTAGGCCCACCAACGATGAACTCGTGGAGACAAGTCAGTTTTGCTTTTGGAAGCTTTAACAGAACTGCAGTCTGTCACAACGGTAAACTTACGACCTAGCAAATAATGTCGAAAATGCTTTATGGCATTGAACACAGCTAACGTTTCTAACTCAAATGAATGAAACTTTGATTCGGCTGGGGAGGTACGACGACTGTAATAAGCAACCACATGTTGTATCCCATTAATCTTTTGAATAAAAATAGCACCATATCCTTCAGCACTGGCATCGGTGTGTAACTCTATTGGATGTGCAGGATCAAATATCGTTAGAATATGCTTACTGGTTAAATAAGAAATAATTCTCTGACGAACAGCCTCATGGCTAGGTTCCCACTCAATGGACCTGTTCTTGCCACTCGTTAGACGAAATAGAGGAGCCATCGTTTTTGAGAACTGTGGCACAAATTGTCTGAAATAAGTGGCCAGCCCTATGAACTGTCTTAGCTGAGTGATGGTTTTAGGCGGGGGAAGTCTGGACAAAGCTGCAATTTTATTTGGGTTGGGACTGATTTGGCCGTTCTCAACAACAAAGCCTAAATATTCTACCCGTCGCTTAAGAAAGGAACACTTAGCAAGATTTAGGGAGAAACCAGCTTTTGTTAATTTATCTAGCACAGTGCGAAGACGAAACAAATTCTCCTCTACAGACGATCCTATCACTAAAATGTCATCGACGTATGTCACAGCATAGCTGTTAGCAAGATCGCCTAAAGCCTTCATCACTGCACGTTGATAAACTGACCTGGCATTCTTCAAACCGAACGGCATGGTCAAATATTCCCACTGACCATCAGGTGTGACGAATGCAGTGCGCTCTATCGATTCAGGCTGCACTGGAATCTGGTGATAGCCTGACAACATATCGAGACACGTGAACCATGTAACACCACCTAACCTGGATACAAGGTCCTCTATCAACGGCAATGGAAACCTATCCGATACAGTGTTGTCGTTCAGTTCCCTGTAGTCGACACACATGCGATCTGAACCATCTTTCTTCTTGACAAGCAACACTGGACTAGAAAAGGGTGAACAACTTGGCCTAATAATACCTGCTTCCTCTAGTTCACGAACTTTAGCAGTAACAACTTCACGTTCATTTGCACTAAGCCTATAAGGGCGACGTTTAACCGTTCGACTAGGATCTATAAGCCTAATTTGCAACTCTCCTGTCGTAACACGGGATTTAGGTACACCACTAGAAAACGAAGATGAATATTCTGACAAAAGATCCATTAATCGAGAACGAAATTCTGGCGGAATGTCTGTGTTAACTTTATTTGAATCAATTTGATAATTAGTATACGTCTTGGGCTTATTTGAAGTTAATCTCACAACCTTATCACGACACAAAACAACGCTATCAGACGTCATACTAACGTTGAACCCCTGATCTAAAATCTCGCGGCCGATTAAGATATCATTTTTAAGACAACTATTCGGTACAACATGAAATAATATCTCTAATCGTAAATCGTTAATTATAACTTCAGATAAAATTTGTAGGGTACTTTGCACACTAACGTGACCGATTCCGGTTAAATTTACAATATTATTTACTCGCTTTCCACTAAACTTTGACGCTACACAATCTTTGATCAGAGAGCATTCGGCACCAGAATCGTAGTAAAATGGGTATGACTCACCAGCATTCATCAGCACACCGCTGGGATTGCTGACATAACAAACGTTGACACGTCGCTCACTGGTCGCCGCTGCGGCAGGCGCTGCCCCAGGACTGCTCGATCCACCCGCCGCGCTGGTGCCTACACTATTGCTTCGTGGACATTTTGCTGCAAAATGTCCGGCGTTGCCGCATCGAAAGCAGATGATATCCAAACGCTGTTTTGGTCCTGAAGAACTTGACGCCGAGGTGATGGTATTGGCTGTTTTGCCTTTGAACTCATTTCTTGATCGACAGTCAGATGCTCGATGACCTAGTTTACCACAGTTGTGACACTTCAGCGTTGTCGACTGAAACTTGGATCGCTTGAACTCTGGAACGGCGTCGGTCGAGTTAGCCGTTGAAGCTTTCCTTTTCAAAAACGAGAGCGCTTGAAGTTCACACTGCAGCTTGTTCCTGTTGTCGACTTTGGTAGTAAACGCCAGCCTCTGAATACGCCCATCAAATTGTGCCATGTGAGCAAGCACCGTAGATATGGCAATCTGCTCAGTGCTCATGTTTTGCCAGCGTGATGTGAGTGTTGAAAGCAATCGGGCGGCGTACGCGGCATAACATTCACCTTCCTTGGGCTTGCCACTCATCATTTTGACAAGAGTAGCGGCTGGTGTGTCCACACAATCGTACCGGGATAAAAACAGGCTTTTGAAGTCACACCATGTCATCCCCGCAAACGACACTTGCGCCAGCCTACGTGAAGCACTACCTTTCAAAGCCTTGCTTAGGGTAATTATTAGAGCACTTCCCTGAAGCGGTACCTCCGATAGGCACAGATCTGCTGTAGTACACCAGGCACGTGCGTCTACATCCGACTTATCAGGGTCAAATTCAGGCAGAGAAATATGCTTGGTACCTGCCGGGCCCTTGATGGCTTCTATCAAGTACATCATATTCTGGTTTTGAGCAGCCAGCAGCGCCCGAAGCATGTTCTCGTCGCACCGTGACGACATCGCTCTAGTCTCCGTGTTTTCTTCAACTCGGGTGCATCCCACTTCTGATGTCGCATCGTGGGTGGCCGAGATGCGAAGCATCGGGTTTTCTTCACGCTCCGACATGGTTTTATGTGTATGTGGGCACACGAACGAAAGATGATTTAAATCAAAATAACTTTATTTGGACTAATGGTTGTACACGAGAAACAAACACGTGCGTCGGTAGCGAGCGTCCGCTCCGGCTGTCCGAACTCGACTGCCTCAACACTCGGTCCCTTCACTAGCCCTCGCTGCATCCCTTCTACCGACGATCGTGTCCAAGCGGTAGGGCGCGCTTGCGTTTCCGGTGACGATATTATTGATTCGTAAAGCTAATTGCTAGATGGCGCTGCTTGTAGCACTATGGCGCCATCAATCCACGACATATATAACAATTTTTAAAACTTTGTTCGTCTGTCCGGACTAATCTTCGGAATGATCGAACCGATTGCAATGGATTTGACCAACTGATACATAGGCTGCACTAAAAGTATCGGGAATTGAATATTTCCACTGTTCCTGTCATATTAAAATCTTTTTAATTGTAAAGTACTTGGTTTTTTGAAATTGAATAACATTTATTTATTTAAAAGAAGATTCTCGGTCTTAAGACATAAAGACATAAAGACATTTATTCCAACACTTACATCTACATACATGACAAATTACAATTAAAAATAAAACAAGTGACTTATAAACAAACAAACAAAAAAAATTTAATAAAGAAAAGTGCGTCCATTCAAAAAATAAATAAATAAAAATAAAATAAAATAAAAATAAAATGGGACCGTCTCAGCATATGCCGCGAGCTTGCAGCGCTGATTTTCAGCCGGCCCCGAAGAAGTTCTGACGGTCAATTTTATGCGAGCGAGTATTTTTTTTTAAATTCTTATTCTATACCTCATGCGAGATGTGCCGTAGACGGTAGTATGCAGAGTCCCTACGTTTTACTAAAATGTTAATGATAAATATATCATTATATACATATACATATACACACACACACACACACACACATGTATACATATATATATATATATATATATTTATATATATATATATATATATAAAAATTACAGGAATATAGACAAGTATTATAAATATATATACAGTCAAAACCGGATATAGCGACATTGAAGGGACCATATAACTTCGGATGTTATATCCCTTAGTTGTTATAAGCAATATACACAAGTATACAAACATAAAAATATTTATTCTGAAAAACTTGCAGGACCAACAGTACAGCTTATAGATGTCTTGTCACAAGGTTTTGTCAAACTTGTTTAGTCGTTGAGAAAATGGAATTGACTCGAGAAAATTCAAGAGCGATGATTTATTATGACTTTCGAAGTGGTTTAACACAAAAACAGTGTGACCGGATGATTTCTGCATTTGGTGATGAAGCCCCATCCAAAACCACAATTTATCGCTGATTTGCTGAATTTCAACGTGGACGTGTCAAGCTCAGTGATGATCCCCGTCAAGGTCGTTCAAAAACTGCAGTTACCCAAGAAAACGTTGATGCTGTGCGTAAGCTGATTAAGAAAGATCGACATGTGATATACCGCGAAATTCAGGCAACTTTAGACATTGGCATGAGTTAAATATAAATAATATTGCATAAACAATTAGGTGTAAAAAAGTTGTTTTTCCGATGGATACCGCATTCGCTCTGTGAAGAGCAAAAAGCGGCTCGCGTTACTTGGTGCGTCAGAACTCTCGAAAGATTTCACGCAGGATCATCAAATGCTGTATACAAAATCGTATCAGGTGACGAATCCTGGATATACGCGTACGAACCCGAAACAAAAAACCAGTCACGATTTTGGGTGTTCGAAAATGAGTTAAAGCCGACAAAAATTGTTCGTTCACGGAGTGTTGCAAAAAAATGGTGGCCACGTTTGTCTCCAAAACCGGCCATGTTATGACTATTCCTCTTGAGGGACAAATAACGGTTAATGCAGAATGGTATGCTAGCATTTGTTTGCCACAGGTAATTTCTGAACTCCGTAAAGAGAACTGCAACCGCCGCATCATCCTCTATCACCACAATGCGAGTTCTCACACCGCACACAGAACAAAAGAGTTTTTAGAGCAAGAAAACATAGAATTATTAGACAATCCGCCGTACAGCCCCGACCTAAGCCCTAATGATTTCTATACTTTCCCTAAAATTAAGAATAAATTGCGTGGACAGAGATTTTCATCACCTGAAGAAGCTGCGGATGCCTACAAAACGGCCAATTTGGAGACCCCAACTTCCGAATGGAATGGGTGCTTCAATGATTGGTTCCATCGTATGGAAAACTGTGTCAATTTTTGCGGAGAATACTTCAAAAAGCAATAAATACATTTTTAAATAGTAATGTTGTGTCACTTCTTTGATTCCCGAAATTTTCAGTGCCGCGATGCCTCTTTTCCAGTAAAAATGGTCTCCGGTTCTCTACACTCACCATACGAAACACAGCAGTGTTAAGCTGATATTTTACGCTGGTATTCTGTGAGAGCGTGGTACTTCCCCGGTCGAGCCGACCCATTCGTGCTACGACTATACTACTAATATAGCTGCAGCATGACTCTACCACGTGACAAAGAGATCTAGTTGTATGAAGCAATACCAGCAGTGGACTAGGTTATATTTTTTCCAAAAAAAAAATAGACGATGTTTTTGTAAAATGTAAAAACTACTAAAATAAATGGTGTTTGATAATTATCTGGAATCTAAATAAATCCCACCCTAGGCAAAACCGGGGCAAGTAGCTTATTTCAAAATAAATACAAAGGTATTTTGTATTTAGCAGACTTCAAAAAAGGAGAAGGAATATTTCGACTGTATGTTTTATTGTATGTATGTTAGGCGATAACTTTGTCAATTATGCATCATGTATATCAGGGGTGGTGTTATAAAAATTTGGAAAAAATACCACCCCATGCGTGGCAAAATAGGGCAGTAAGTTTTTAATCTCACTATCCTATTTCGGTTGTCAACCTACGTGCCAACGTGGCAACTACGGCAAATATTTCCCCTATGAGGCAATATATGGTGGAGGCGTATGTTCAGCAGTGGACTTACATATAATGTAACGTGAACGGGAGATTGAGGTATTCCTGAGTCCACTTTAAAGGGAAAAAAATACCTTTAATACAAATTAAAAGCCGACTTCAAAGAACTGTGTTACTAAGGAAATTATTTCACTAAGATAATAATATAATTAATTCTTGTCATAGCTAAATATATATACGTATACCTTATTCCTATTTTGATTTAATTTATTTTTAATGGCTTCTTGCAGAAGTGGTTCTTTGTTATAAAGGTTTATTTTATTTTTGTGGTAATGAATATGTTCTTCCCTCCCTTATTATTTCACATTTGTTTAATGGATATTATATAACAGAACCTGTCGCTTAAAAAATAAAAATAATGAACATAAAGAGAAACTTCACCCTGATGTACTCCGATATAAATTTCAAATACGAACCGATAACGTTTTTATTTAATTCTCCTCGTCCGTCTAAATTGTCAAGATCTCTGGAGAAATCAAGTAACCGCAACTTTCTACCCGCGTCGTAAGTTATCTAAGTTATTGTCATTGAAGTTTATTTTCTATTCCTTCAATACGTCGAAATAAACATATTATAACGTGCCAAACAACTCTATTTACATACACACATATGTACATGCAGGTGAATCTAACAATAACCCACAAGTTAGGATACATGAAGCCGTTTAGGCTACACAGAGTTTGCAAGAAATATACATACATACATACACTCGAAAAACAGTATCCACCTTCTGGGGTAATCTTCACCTTCCATTGTCCCGTACAACCGTACCACCTGCCGGCCGTACTTACACGAGGCTCTTTCCCACGTGCACATTCTTGACTCTCTATATCTAATTTATTCTACCCCCTGTCTCATATTGACACTCTCTCTCTCTCTCTCTTTCTGGACATGACAAACACATAATGCCTTCGGTTCCAAGTAGATCTTCAGTTATGTGTCTTCGCCATGGCAGTCCTCCGCACATAAACCGGGCCCACCCTTCCGTGTACCATTCCATACATCATCTTACACCGCAGGTCAACATTAAGCACGCACACCCACAGCACATGGTGCTTCTTCTCGTAGGCTGCTCTACACTGACACATACTAGATTCAACTTATTTCATGTCAAGCAATCCTTTTTGGGTAGTCTGGTAAAAAGAGTTTTTCGTTCTTTGTCACTAACCTAGCAATCATACTACCCTATAATTTATTCTATTTGGCGGTGAACATCCCCGATCAAATAGATCCATATGTGATGCAGCTACAATGTATTTTTCATCTACCGCGTAATATATTTTTTTTAACTATAGAATAAGGGTAAGGTAAGGCTCTTCTGAGGTAAGGACGAGCACACAGTCCACCTGGTAGTAAGTGGATAATGTGGCCCATAGACATCTACACCAATGTTCGATGAAAAATCAACATTCAGGTGTGTTGTCACCCCTGATGACTAAAATGGAATGCCTCGTTTCCAGTAAAAAAGTTCTCCGGTTCTCGACACTCACCATACGAAACACAGCTATATTAAGCTGCTATTTTACGCTGGTATTCTTTGAGAGAGGGGACCTTGCACGGTCAATTCCATTCATGCTACAATTATAATATAGCTGCAGCATGAGTTCTACGATGTTTAATAAAACTAAATCATACATTTACATAGTATACATGTTAACTTTTAATTTCATCCAATCATAAATAGAATGTTGCATCATGCCATTCAATATTGAACATTCATTAAAATGATTTCTCTCAGGACACAAACATAAAGTAAAGTAAAACAAACGAACGTTGACACAAATATAATCCAGATAAGAAATTAATTTATAAAAGAGCGGCTTATAAAAAGCTTAGTATTCCTTTTCTGAAAG